CTTGCCAGGTTTGACTTGCCAGGTTTGACTTGCCAGGTTTGACTTGCCAGGTTTGAAATGTGAGGTGTGACTCGCCAGGTTTGAAATGTGAGGTTTGAAATGTGAGGTTTGAAATGTGAGGTTTGAATCGTGAATTTTGAACCGATTTGCATATATAGTATGTATAATATTCTGAATCGATTTTTAGATTTGAGCCGATTTCGACCTGATTCCGAATCGCGTCGGAAACCGCTTTGAATTGAGATCAGCTCTCTGAGTCGAGCTGAACGCACTTCGATAAACCCCGGGGCCCCTACATATAGGGTCAATGGATTGACACAGACTGTGAGCCGTGAATCCGTTGGGACGTCCTCAAAGCGCCAGCGAAGCGATTGATCTTCATGATGCTTAATGTTTTTTCGATTGTTCCACCTTTTCTATCCAACGCCAGCAAGCCCCCAAAGGCCTAGTGAAGGAAGAGAGGAAGACTGATTGGAGGAAGACTCGCAGGATTAGGAAGGTTTTTGACCAATCAGACATTTGATCCATCCACAGTAAATCAGCAACTGCAAACACTGTGCATAAGGTTTCTTGGGTAGAATTGAGAGAGACCATTGCAGACGAATCTAACGCTGCCGGCGCTAGGGTCGAGAGTCTTTTTCACGGTGTTGATGAGGTTGTTGATGATGGAAAATTGAGTTGATCTTTGTGGCTGCGATGAGGTGGAAATCATGGAGGGAAAGTGCAAATGTGACAGTGTGAAATTGAGAACGGAACAACTAAGATCCGGAGCAGGTCACGTTACGTGCGTCTCAGCTGGCCAATCGATAGGCGCGATAAGACCCAGACAATAAGCGTTGTGTCCTGCTAACGCTCCGCTAGATTAATATGCGGAAATATTGACACTGGCCATACACATTTTTGAACTTATCATTCATTTGAGGAGGTAATGAGACAGGCCCATTACGTCCCATAAGTTGTTTGACTAGGCTAATAGCTATATAGAGAGGTATGCACGAGGACTCTTGTCCACGGCTCAAAGAGCCCATCCTTCTTCAGAAGGTCTGGGACAACTGCTCAATGACAGCGAGGATGCGGTGTCGCAACAAAGGAGATTGAACTTTCTCCCCTGGGGAGAGACAAGTCGTAGTAGATATGTAGTAGTAGATGTTGGGGGTATCTCGGTCAACAATAGTGTAAAAGGTAGATCAGACAAAATAGCAGACAAACTCCGAAAAGACCCCTCAACTGATCGGTCATGTCGCCGACATTCAGTATGGTCAAATGCTCCGGTCGCTAAATGCAGAACAAGGCTGATGATGATTGATTCCGTTGCTGTTTCTCCCGAGGCTGATGCATGGTGTAGCAGTAGTAATAAGTTTTGGATGATGGATGCTGTGAGAATAAGGAGAATTGCCGTGAGGCAACATCTTCGTAGGAGAGTCGTTCAATCATGAGGTGGGTATTTCCAAAGACAGAGGTAGTAATAAATGGTAGTATGGACCAATTTCAGATCCGGCAGGTGTCGTTCCTCTTCATAGCCTTGGCCAGCATCAGCTTTCTCATCCACTCGATGCGTTCTTTGGAACTGTCGACAGCAAAGTGGTGAGACTTGCCAGCTTTGTCGAAGATCGACTTGGTTGCCTTTTCGTTGTCAGGGATCAAGGAGAAGGCGAATGTTTGGTCGCCGGCCGGAGTCTTGCCTTGACCAAGGAGACTCTTCTTGAAGGCAGCGCTGAGCTTCGAACTCGAGGCCTGTGCGTAGGCGTGCAGTGTGTACTCATCCACGTCAATGTCCTCTAGAGCATTGGCATTGGCGTAGTGAGTGTCGTGCATCGTAAGCTTGTTGCCAACCAGTGTGCAGTAGTTGTCCTGCCACTCGTGTCGGAGCATGCGGGTGGTCTTGCGCTTCCGCATCCAGCCTTGGTGGTTGGCAAGTTCAATTTCAGTCCTTCGGGCGGCAGGACGAGGGACGTGTGTCTCGTTCTCCTTGACGGGAGCCACAGAGGGTGTGAAAGACTGCTGACGGATGTGGCGCCGAGGAGGGGTAGGCTGGGTCGATACGCAGCGCTCGATAGGCTCTGGTGGGCTGATTGTCACTGCAGCGGCGCCGTATCGCATCTCAGGAGGGACAGATTGAGAGACATCACGTTGGCAAGGATCTGCAGCCATGGCGGTGACAGGAATATCAGTGGCCGACATGGGAGTGTCGATGCGGTAGATGTCAGCTGGAGATGCAACGCCGCCATAGTGATATGGATCGCGGTAAAGCTGAGCCTTGAGTTGAGCCTGGATCTGGGTGGGTTGTTGGAGGGCGGAGATGGGAGTCCTCGAGGGGATTTCGTCCTGAGTTTGTCCCACCGGGATCGTGAGCTTAGGGAGCCCACGAAGGTGCTCGGCCAGGTGAGCGGACTTGACGGCAAATGATGCGGAAGAGGCAGGAGGGGGCGAAGGGTTACTCGAGTGCGATGGGCCGTGGAGATGTTGGAAGTTAAGGAACTGTCGGACGCTCTCCTGGGGGTCGCGGGGTTGGACGCCGCTCAGGGTCTCGGCGGTGATCTTCACAGAAGAGGGTCCAAGGACGTCTGATGATCCAACGACCGACGGCAAGGCTTCGGATCGGGCCTCAGACACAGGCCGGCGGGCGTCAGCCTCCCACGCGCGCTGCATGCGAAGGATCCTCCGTTGTTGCTTCTGCCACTTGGGGCAGTCTTCGCCCTTGGAGCACTTGTGCTCTTTGGGGAGTACCTGCTCGATCCCAACAATGGAGACGGACTCTGCAGGGGTGACGACGTCAGGCTGGCGAGCTCGTCTTCGCGAGCGAGATCGGTCGACAACGACTTGGCATTCTTCCGGGCGAGCAGCTCGTTGCACGGCTCTGGGACTTCTGGTGTTTCTCGAAGGAGTCCTTGAGAGAGGGGTCTCCAGGGAGATCATGCTGCTGTTTCGTAGTTGGTGGATGGAGCTCATGACTCTGTGGCGCTTTCCAAAGGAGCTGATGTCGAGTTCCTTGAGATCCTCGAATTGAAGGTCAATCAAGACACTGCCGGAGATGTCGTGATTGACAAACTTTTCCACGACAGCCTGCTCGAAGCCTGCCTCAGCCATCCAGTCGGCAACTTGTTGAGGAGTCCAATGTCGTACCTGGGACTCGTCGAGTTCTGCGACAGCGGTGTTGAGGGCGTTGATGGGTCTGGCTGGGGTCTTTGGCTCGGCCACTGGGGACAAGTTGAGGAAGATATCGTCGTCGGGATTCGTCAGAATCTCGGGCGTGCCTCTGAACAAGTGAGGCCCTTGGGGGCCCAAAACTGCTCGATCATCGAAATGGAACTCGAAGCCGCCAAGGCCACCACTGTGAGGCGGTGTTGGGAGGTCATCGCGGCTGGATGACAGAGTCGATTCACTGTCGTCATCTTGTGAGTCCCAGGGACGGGGAAGTGAATCGGAGTCGTTGTCCTCGTTGTCAGTGTCAAAGATCTCGGTGGCTTCTGACAGAGGCCTGGGCGCGGTGGTCCGTCGCCCGAGGAAGGAGAGGTCGTGTGTCTTCTGCAACATCTCAACTGGCTGCAGCTGCAGCGGCGAGTATGGTGTTGACCACTCCATGGATCTACTCTATGATGAAGGGTGTTGTTTACAATTGAAGGTCAATCTTGGAAGATTGAATCATGGTGGAGAAGGAAGCTCAAGAAGGGGTTCAGGTATGTATGTATACACGATCATTGCGGTGGGTGTGGGCGGTTAGAGGTCTTGAGCAATGTGACGAGTGGAGATGCAAGGCCAGGGTAACTTGCAGAGAAGGATGCAGGATATTGAATCGCTACTGCAGTGGTTATGCGTGCGATAGATGTGAAACGACGCGGAAGCAGCCACTCAGGGAAAGGCAAACGGCGATGGGCTGGCATAGGCTGGCATAGACTGGCATAGGCTGGCGGTAAGAGAGAGATGGAGATGGGGAACAAGGCTCAACACCAATGGAGGGGCATCTATGAAAAGTACGCGCTGGAGCCGTTCCGGTCAGGGTCTGGCCGCCCCCACTATCCCGCAGTCCGCTCCGGCCAATGGGAGGGCAGAAGAGGGTGATGGAGAGGAGTTGGCGGGGGCCAAGCACATCCTGCTGCTTGATTATCCCCCGCCCCTCGAACCAATCACCGGCTCCACTGAATATCTTCCAAAAATACCCTTCCACTTGCCCATCTTCCGCCTTCCCTCCCTTGGTATAGCCTCCGCATAGTCTGTTCCCTGGAATAGCACCTGGCGCTTCTCACTCGCTGTAGCCAGAGCATCTCCCCTGGCCCAAGCCGTTTTCCGACCGAAGATCCCCTAGGCTCTTCCCTTTTCGTGCCTTTTTCTCTGCGTGCCGTACCGCTAAATTCCCCTTTATCAGATTTCCCCCTCAACGCCCTGCAGTTTCCCAACCTCCTCACCATTTCACTCCCTCCTTTCCTGGATGCGAATTTTGTGATTGGTCACTCGTTCCAGAAAATACAACTTGAACCCCCACATGCACCTCAATAAACTCTCTCAAACTTGCGAGAGTTTGCCCTGCTGATCTCTCGGCAAACGGTTGTAGCTAGAGGTGACCAAGCATCCTCGTCTTCTCATCGCAAGTCACAAGATACTCGCAGCAGCAGGTCAAGGATTTACGCAGTATGCCCGGCATGTTGCACGATTTTCCTCCTCGCCAGTCTCAAGGTGAGGAGTTCTGAAGTAGATGCATTACCTTCTTCGGGCACGACATTCGCAGTGGGAGTTGTGTCCGTCTCAGTCGATTCAGGGTCTTTGGGGAAGCTTCATGATGAGACCCTGGGACGTCTTGGATCTAGGCACTGGACCCTTGACATCTGGACTGCCCAGTTGACTTTGTGTTCCTACCCCTCCTGCCCTCTTAGATTCTGGGTTGGACAGAGAGGGGTCCGATAGAAGGCCGGGCTTTCCGCAGAAGGGATAGAACACTGCACGGCCAAAGCGGCCCTTTCCGCGATAAGAGGTCTTCCCATCAACTCGTGGGCAGATTGGCTGAATTGCGAAAGTCAAACCGAGGTTGGCGTGGGGAGTGTCTCCCACCAGATGACACTTTAGGGAACTTCTCCCGCCACTTCTGCACCTCATTCGCACCTCGCGAGCAGGACGCGGTCTCGCTAAAAGGGTCAGTTATTATTGACCTCAATAGCTCGAGTGTGATATTCATCTCTTAGCGCCACTGCAAGCAATGTTCTTTAAAGACAATATTTAGAACTGTACTTACTTGAGCGCCCACCATCCCTGGGAGAGGGTTCGCCTACCTCCACGAGGGCGTGGGTGATAGCACGTTGCGCATGTGTTGACGAAAATCTCCAAAGATTCCCTCGCGCACCGGGAATGTGAACCATCCCTGTCCTCATGGCGATGTGCCGTACTGCACATGGCAGCCACAACTCGGCAGCGGTGAGCCCACCGCTACTTGCCAACAGTCTGGCACGAGGACACAGGTGACGTTGCCGTGGTACATTTTCCGTAGGACGACATTACATGGTACCTGAGACGCGTCTGGGAGCTTCAGGCCGGAAGACTTCCATGAAAGTGGTCACTTGGTCACTCGGCACCCGGCATGAACAAGCTTGCACAGTGGCCCCGGGACAAGAGAATCAACGCTTTCTGCGACAGATTTTCTGTAAAAAGCTTAGCCAGATCCGCAAGTTGGGCTCCAACGAGGGCAAAAAGAACCTTTGGAGGTGGTGGAGGGCGTGGAGCCGGGCTATCCCCCTCGGCGACTTGCAGCTTTGCCTGCATAGTCGTGCGAGTACCTCGTAGACTGTCGCACTCTCTTTCTCTGAATCAAGCTACCGAGGTGTGATAGTGGGCCTAGATTTCGAGGGCCGGGTGATGGATTTGGACCACTCTAGACCGACAACGACCTCCCACGTTTGTGTTCTTGATAAGTCAACGTGAGATTTCCGGCCACGCAGATAGGTTCGCGGAAGGGTTTGGAAGGTTTCGGGTAAAGATGTTGATGAGGACTGAATGTTGTGCATGGAAGCCAGCTTCTTCAGACCCTCCACGTGAATGGAGGGGTACGGGCTCGGTGTGGTACTGAGGTAACACAAGAGCTCAGCGTCGCCATCTTTGTGTACGATCACGCAGGGAGCAGTTCTGCGTCAACGACGAAGCGGCATCATTGCATATATGCATAGAAAAGTGTGAGAGAACGGCAGGCACATGCAAAATGCGAAGCCGGGGTGGCTTTGCTAAATCTCTCTACCTAGTATCTGTCTGAAGGAGTACGACGAGCCTCGTACAACGCAAAAAGCATTGACATTATTAACCACAGTATCGTCTGAACTCAAACGTCACCCGCCGTCCTCAGAATAGAAGCAGCAACTTAGCAGTGGAAAATGGGCACGAGCACGATATTTTCAGCCCTACCCAGTTCCAAATCCCTTATGTGCTCTTTTTCGAATGCAAACAATCACGTTCGCTTCGAGCAAGCTCACGGAACGAATGTGATGCATGGAAGTTCTAAAAATAAGGGCACCATGACGAAGGACGTATGTACCTAGGTACCTTGTACTGGCATGCAAAGCGAAAGAAGCGAGGGGCAGATTTGAGGGGAAGAAGAGCATAAACGAAGTCAAGCTCGAACGCATGCCTAACCAGACTGCCAGAACTTAGAAGCGAGTCGAGTCATGGAGCAGAGCCCTCGGCACCCACTCGGTAAGCTGGTCCAAGCTCTCGAGGACAGTCGCAAGAGCTTGCAGGATGCAGTTGCTAGTGTCACCACCAACCTACAGACCTCTTTCTTGCCCAGTAATACCATTGACCACCTGCAGTTCCTGGCATAAGAGACCCCACTAAGGGCTCCATACGGTAGGCACCATAGGCACCATAGGCCCGCTACGGGCCCCATCACGCTAAGTGACGAGCCTAATGCAAGCCTAATGCACGAGAGTTGTCTTGGCATCACGGTTGGCTCCCGTCGTTCCCGCGACCTTCAACACCCAGATTGAACTTCACCCAGGCAGGGAAGATTCCCATCCTTCACCCAGCACAGGCTGCATAGCTCCAGTACTAGCCCCCAGCCTTCGACCTTGATTCGGCTTCTCACATCCAATCACTGCTCCAATTCCCTGCTTCGAGCACACCATCGGCTCTTTTTCTCATGCTTTTCCCTCACCTGACCAGTCCAGACTGCCCTCTGTTTAATCCGCTGACCCCCTCTCGAGCCCTCAGACTGCGCTTGGTTGCCCTGAAGATCAAGCCGATCAGAGCCGATCAACGTACTACCCGAAACTCTGCGGGCACACCTTTGCATGGTGAAACGGCGTACGGAAAGAGAGTTCAAAAGTTTTCCAGAGCGTGGTACATGGTCAACGTCGCGGAGAAATAACAGGCAGGGCACGTGAAAGAAGAAGGGTTTTCCCCGGCCCAACGTCCCTCCAGCCATGGGCAAATGTTGCCGTATCGGAGGGGCACCTTGGAGATACCTACTACTGGCACTGCAAAGGAGGCGTTAGCACTGCATCTATCCGTGTGGTCCTCAACCGATATGATGTGTGCAACTACTCGCTTGGGGTAAATTCTCCCCATCTTCTGTGATGCAGGATACCAGCATGGCTGCTGTCCCAAGAAGCCCAGCGTGCCATTGAATGGCCAGCCGCATGGCAGCGTCGTTGCGGTGGCCATGTCCATGGTTTTGAGAACAGCTTCTCGTGGTTCACCCTAGGGATTGGTACCTTCAGCGTACCAGCATTTTGCACCTTGTCCCAGCGAAATCCATGTACCTCGCCTGTGCAGTTCCGCATAACCCGGTTGTGGGCCGGGCTGGGTCATGGCACGCATCAACCACTTGCTGGTTGTTGCCTTCTTTTCCAGCTTAGTCCGCTACTTCCTTGAATGCCACAAAGCCAGACTGTACTGTCAGTGGCCACTGGCCAGATGGTCCTTCGGAGGTTCATTTGACCGGCAAAGGGCTTGTCGTGAGCCAGCTGGTCTCTACTCGGACAGATTTGGACATCCAAAAAATTGGGGCCCTGACCAGGGAGGTGTGGAGGGTCCTGATGCAGGCCTGGACCCAGAGGCGCTAACAGCATGTTCATGGAGACTCGTCGAAGCTCTCATGGTCTAATCTTAGCTTCGAAGCGCCCTCCACCCTCCGTCAGCCAATCACTGCAGATACCTCCCACACTTCATGCTGATTCCTCATGCTTGCGGCAGACTATCGAGCGACCGAATCAACCGAGTATTGTTGACCTACCTCGACAATTGACCCATTCGACCAGCTCTTTCATTGCACAATCAATTGACGTTCCCCTCCTCCGCCATCCCAACCACCAATACTGAATGGGCGTCTCCCAGGCGCAGACGCGATATTCATAGACACACCACCTCCAACATGTGCCGCCCGTCTCTCATTCGTCCTCCATGCAGACAAGTTGTTTCTTACAACCGGCTCCTTTCCTCGACCTGCTTGGGGCCTCATCGTCCTTGCAGGAGCCCTCCCCTCTTGGATCCAAATATAGCTCTCTCCACCTTTTGCGAGCTCTTCCAAGTCTCTCATATACATCATCCTCGGCCAATGTCGCCGTGACTTCCTTCAAGGCAGACCGTTGCCCTCGCTGTTGTCCCTTCACCTCGTCGACAACCTCCTGTTAGACCGTGCGGATACTGCTGGACAGTGTTCGCGACCATTCCCTCGTAATAATTAACAGCAGCGCGGTTCACCGGGTCCTATCCTGTCATTGTCGTCCTTGATATCTGCATCTTATCGTTGTTTTTGTGTGCGCCAAACGAAAAATATACACCGAAACACCCATCCCTGGCACCATCAGCAATGGCCTCTGGAAACGAGAAGAAAGCTGCCCCCGCGACGAAGGACTCGCCCTCCACCAAATCATCCAAGATGCACCGACGGTCGAGATCAGGTGAGCCTTGTCACAGACCGCAAAAGTCACCCTTTGGGTAAGGCTGAATACTAAGACTTGATTTCAGGCTGCTTCACATGTCGTCTGCGGCGCAAGAAGTGTGACGAAGGGAAGCCCAAATGCAAGGCATGTAGACACTTGGGCCTTGACTGCGAATACAAGCGACCCCATTGGTGGAGCAACAATGAGACTCGGAGGAAGCAGAAAGAGCACATCAAGACCATCATCAAAAGAACAAAGACAAGTGAGAAGAATTCGAGTACTCAAAGTCAATGTATATCATACCCCGAACCTATGGAGCACGTTTTCGCAGCCCTAGCTAATCCATGCACAGATGCTCTGAACAATGGCGCACAATCCTACTCGGAGGACTCACAAGACGAATACGACACTACCTTCGACCCGTCCTTTGCGACCACTCCAGGCCTCTTTGACCCGTATGGCCCCAATATCTACATGCCTCCCGACCCGTATGGGCAAACGATCCCCTGGGAAGTGGATGTCAAGACGGAGCGCCACACCTATGTCAACGACGAACTTACTCGTCGCGACTCGTCGATATCAACCTTCAGCACCTTCTACCCCCCGCCTGCTCATGCGACTTTGCCATCGTACACTGGAGACGACTGGGTACAGCAAGACATCTTCGAGAGCCGACAGGACTCTTGGACCGAGGGTGATTTCGATTTCAACAACCTTGACCTGCCCCATATTGCACATCAATTCGAACCGCAATGCTCCCTGGTCCAACTCGAGGAGTGCGACCAACCACTGTTCGAACACTTGCTCCAAAACGTGCTGCCGCTGCTGTTCCCCGTCCAGGAGGCCTACCAACACGGATCGGTTCGCTCAAATGTGATATTGCCTTCGCTCGAAAACAACAAGGCATATCTGCATTCCTGTCTTCTGGCTGCAGCTACCCACATGAAGGGCAACAGGCAATTTCTGAGCAACACTGCGGACGACGATGCGATGCGCCACAAGCTTGCATTCGTGACGATCGTGGTCGAGGCCCTCAATAGTGATAGCCAGCACAGCGAGATGCTCGATGCCCTGCTCGGAATGATTTCGATGCAAGGCTGTGTCGGCTCGGCTCTGGAGCTTGAGAAGGAGCTGATTCCCTGGCACCAGCACTTCCAGGCTGCAGCGGACATCGTGCAGAAGCTCAACCTCCCGCAGAACTTGGAGAGCAATGCCACGACAGGAGGTTATCCGCCGTTCAACATGAGTCTGACAGCATGGATCGACATACTCGGTGCGACGATGCTCGGCAAGGCCCCGCGATTTTCGCACACCTACCGGAACATGTTCTTCGCGGGCGCGTCGACGGGACTTGAGAGATTAATGGGCTGCAACGACTACGTCATGTACCTTCTGTCGGAGGTGGCGTGTCTCGACTCGCTCAAGGTCGAGGGCAAACTGGACGACATCGGAATGTGTAGCCACATCACCTCGTTGGCGGGGACGCTGGACTCGATCGAGCCGCAGGAGCCTCTGCAGGTCCCTTTCAACAGGGCCGGCGTGTTGCGACCGAAGCAGCTGACCAAAAATATCACAGCCATCTTCCGCAAGGCCGCCCGCGTCTACCTCTGTTCGCTCGTCCCGGAGCACAACCGCTACCAGACCGCGACCGTCAACCTGGTCTCGCAGATGGCCGACCTGCTCCAGTTCATACCATCGGGCCCCAATGGCTTTGACCGATGTCTCGTCTGGCCCATGCTCATTTGCGGCGCCAACTCGATCCCGGCCTCTCCGTTCCGCCGCGTCCTCTCGGAGCGGTGCGAATCACTCGGCGAAGCCGCCGACCACGGATCTTTTGGACGCATGGTGCGCCTCTTGCACGAGGTCTGGAGGCGCAACGACGACGTGGTGGTCTCTGCCGGAGTTTGTGAAGCCACCCCCGTAACGGCCGGAAGCCCTGGAGGATCGATCTCGACGCCCATTGCCGCCGCCGCCGCCGCCATCGGAGCCGGAAACCCAGCAGGAGCCACTTCTTCTTCGACGACAACGACAACAGCAGTACCGAGGACCCAGAACGTCCACTGGCGGGACGTGATGCAGCAAAACAAATGGGATTTTCTTCTGATATGAGCGGCCCTTTCTCTCCTTTTCCATTTCCCTCCCCCAAAGTCCATTGACAGAGAGTACTGCGTGCAGCTCTTGATGGTGCAGAGGCCTTGCTCGGTCTCGATGGCCTGGCCCCTCTGCCGAGATGCCAATACATACTCCTGGACACGGGCGAAACGGAGAGACGGGGTCCTCGTACCAGTGCAACCACATTCATTTCACCCGAACAAAAAGAAACGCCGACGTTAATTGTCCTTTATGAAGTGACAACTAATTTCTTCCACTCATTTATTACTATAACGACGACGAATCCCCGCTCCCGGTCATTTCGGGGAAAGGGGAAAGAGTATCGACGAATCTCCCATCTAATCTTTTCTGGCAAAGGATTAATATTACACTCCCATATTTCTGCATCCTGGTCTGGGGCAAAACCGGCCGACTCTACCAAAAGTTATTATTTTGCATTTTTCCTCGGACTACTATCGACGACGACGAGTATGTCAAAGCGGCGTTTTTCCAAGAAGAAGAAGAAAGAGCACCCTGGATTCCTGGCGGGTTCTCTGGCTCCATCGTGAATGGATACACGGGCGGCGAGTGGCGCAGGGGCGCAGAGGTACCTTTTATCCCTCCCAAATTCCCCCTTTTGCTTGGAGTTGCATATTATATGTATGTACACGAGGTGGACAGGGCGGGAAAACAATACCCAAACAACAGATCTAACGGCCAGAATACCTCAGGATACCTTATCGTATCACATCAACATCAACATCACCCTCACAGAATCCTTAAGTTTTGCGTTTTGTTTGTGTGATTTCTCTTTTGGCGGGAGAGAAGGGGGGGATGTCTTTCTTTTCATTCTTTAAACCCTAACTATAGTTATTTACTTGCTGGCTTTATGATACCCCCCACCCGTTTCGTGGAGTCGCTAAAGCCTCTCCACTGAATCTTATTATCCGACGAGTCTCCTTGTTCGCCTCTTTCGGAAGCTTCGGGGAGGGTTGTTTTCCCCTCGAAAGGAGTTTGGGTGTGTGCTTTTTATCTGGGGGAGAAGGGGTCCGGGGCGTGGACACGGGCGGAAATTGGAGTTCGATTTGAAGAAGGCAGGTGCTGGTGCTCGTGCTGGTGCTCGTGCTGGTGCTCGTGCTGGTGCTCGTGCTGGTGCTCGTGCTGGTGAGGAAGGACAAAGTGGATGCAAGGATGGATGAGGCGCGGGAAAGGAGGGTCCTTTCACTGTCTGGCTGGCTGGGTGGCTGGGTAGCTAGCATTGCGAAAAAGGGAGAGCAAGAGAATTATGGAGGAGATTCCAGACGCGAAAACAGAAGTCCCGCCGAGAGCGTCGACGGAAGAAAACCCGCCGTGACCAATCTACGGCAGAAGCAGAAGGTCCGGAACAAGGCACCCCCATCTACCCGCCCAGACCAATCTACGGCAGAATCAAAAGGTCCGGAACAAGGCACCCCCATCTACCCGCCCAG